GCTCCTTAGTCTACTTACATGCAGACAAATACAATTCCTTGTTTTCATTGCACACAGCCTGTGCAGTCTTCCATGTAGTACCAGAACAAGACAATTTCATTGCGGTTCCAGCTTTAATATAAATATTTGCTCGTGTTCACCAGATCACGATATTTAAACGTATCCAGCTCACAGAAGTCAACTGCACACACATTACATTGGTTAAACTGAATGATTCTGCATTTAATCACTTACAAATACTGTATACCTTTACAGGTGGGTGGTGGAGTCCATTGGTTATTCAGACATCTCATTATACTGGTTCCGTTTAGTTTGTACCAGTAATTACATTGATATGTCACAAACATCTGACCTGGATCAACCTCAAAGTCTGCATTGTTTACTGTGGGAGGGGAGCCACATTTGTCGACTGCAGAAAACATAAGACAATGTGATAACTTAAAATAGACTCCTACAGGTGAAAGGGACAGTGTAAATTGAGATTAAATACCATGAGTGAACATCTGCTGATGGCTGTCGTTTGACCCAGTGGGGGCTGAAGCGGCTGAAAGACATTCACATTGTTTCAATTAGCACAAAAGAGGAAAAGATGCTGCAGTGAGAAACATTGTATTGGGACAATTTGCAAAGCAAGGCAAGTTAATTTGTATAGTACAACTTGTACACAAAGCAATTCAAAGTGCTTTACAGAATAAGAAATACATTAAACGCACAATACAAACAAATCAGAACATAAATAAAGAGACATTAGTTAGAGAGAAGAGTGCAGAATGAAAACCTTTCAGTCATATGCACAGCTAAACAGAATTGTTTGAACAGAACTGTGAGCCTGGATTTAAACAAAGTCAAAGCAGAGGCCTGTCGCACATCTTCAAGAAGACTGTTCCAGGTTTTAGCTGCATAAAACCGAAACACTGGCTCCCCATGTTTAGTCCTGACTCTGGTCACCAGCAGGAGGCTGAGCTCCTCAGAGTGCAGATGGTTCATACGGCACTAACATGTCATGGATGTATTTTGGTGCTCGGCCATAGAGAGACTCGTACGCAAGCAGAACCACTTAAAGTCTATTCTCTGAGCCACAGGAAGCCAGTGCAGAGACCTGAGCACAGGATTTATGTGCTTGTACTTCCTGGTTTGAGTCAGGACCTGAGCTGCTGCAGTGTTCTGGATGTAATGCAACTGTCTTACAGCTCGTTTGGAGAGGCCAGTGAGAGGCCGTTACAGTATCTCACCTACTGGAGACAAGCGCATGGATACATCTCTCCAAGCCTGCTTTAGACAGCATACATCTGATTTTGTGTTTTTTAGGTGGTAAAAGGCTGCAGATCTTATTGATTTGATGTGGCTGTAAAGGTTCAAGCCTGACTCCATTATTACACCTAGATTCTAACCTGATTTGAAGGTTTTGAGAGAGAGAGCCTGGAGGTGACTGCTGACATTGTCTATGACTCTTATGATTTTAAATGTAATGAAGTACAATTACATAGCTAGAATTACACTCAATTAGTTCAAGTAGAGGTTTAAAATCTCCTCAAATAATGCAATTCCTCAAATATAGTAATGTGAGTTGTGATTTGGGTTATTTTCATAGGCACAGGTAAATAAAATGTGTGGAACTTGCTAGTTGGCTTTGCTGTGGGACAAAATATTGAACATTACCCATATTTACATAAAAGCAACATATAACCCTTTGAAAGCTGCATATACTTCTTCTGATGGTGTGAAAGCAGAATATAAGATCAGTGTTTTTTGAACATCCCTCGTGTATGATGGCTAAGAGATTTCTATTAAAGACCAGAATGCAGCTCTTGTAGGTTTTCCTGATTTACGATTGTTTGTCATTTACTGAGTGTTGCATTAAATATCTCACCTTTGCAGCGGGGCACTTCAGACCATGATTCGTTGTTAAAACAATGCACTGTGTTGATACCATGAAGAATATACTCAGGACTGCACTGATACTTCAAATACACAAGGCTGCGCTCCACAATATGCCCATTCTCTATTTGGGGGGCCTCTCCACATCTGACAACTAAAAAAAGATACTGTTACAGCCTGTAGGCTACATGTGTAGGGTCAGTGTAAAAGCCATACTTGTTTTGAAGAGAAGGTCTTCGTCATAACCCAATGAACCTGTATCAAAAGGTCATAAAACAATATTGAGGCCACACAGTTTAATATAAAGTTACTCAAAGTCGGTCTACACAGTTTTTAATTAGGCTACATCTTTGCCTCACTGTTGTTTGGCCACTTTAGCTATGCACAAAAATGCATTGGTTTGTGAATAGCCAAATGCTACCAAACTAAGCCCATAATAGAGAATAATACTTATAAATATAGATGCAACTGGTTCACTCAAAAGTATATAGTTTGTGAGGTTTCTGATAAATATACTCACATTGTAATATTCCAGCAGCCATCCACAGTAAAACTGACACTAGAAGATGACGTCCACACATTTTCAGGTGCAAGTTTACAGTCCTCTATGAGTTGGTTTAATCTGGTCTTTTTAAGTGTCAGTAAATACAGTGGGTGGAGCTTGGCAGTTAGCTGTGCTGTGGGACAAAATGTTCAACTTTGCCCATATTTACTGTGATGGAACTTTATATTGTGGAAAGATTTTTCTCAATCTGTCTTTGTGTAAATGAATGTGATTTCATTAACATGTGTAAAGGTTCAGCAGACACAACTGTCCCCACCTCACAGGGAACTCTGAATTGTCTCAAATGTAAAGTTGATTAACACAAGTCTGTGAAACAAAAGTCACTCTGCGTTGATATGCATGTAACTTGTATGTCTGTATAAATACTCAGAGCTCAGATGCTCTGGGGGAGATGGAGAGAAGAGATTGGAGGCGTGACTGGAGAGAGGAGACTCACGAGAGGCTGTTGGTCTTTGGTCAGGGCAGGCCTAGGCCCTGTCCACATCTGCTGTAACAAAGACGAATAAACCTTTGTCTGTGTTCCAAAAACTCACTGGGCTTCGCAAATGAATCAATTATTTTTTTTCTTCAAGATTTATACAATTTTTCCACAACATTTACATGACTTTGAAAGCTGCATATTATTCTGACAGTGTGAAAGCAGAAAATAAGGATCAGTGTTTTGTGAATGTCCCTTTTGTGATGGCTAAACAACTATGATGAAGGTCTATCTCCTAAAATACTGCTGAAAATACAACTGTGTCCTGGGAGTGTGAACCATCTTTGTGAAGCTTAGAGGGCGCACTACTGTGTGATAGATTCCAGCGCTGTAGGACAAAACTACACCAACCAACCCATGACATCTCATGACATCAATATAGGCAAGAAATGTGTTGAAATATTATGCTTTATTGTGCTATTTGGGGAAAAAAAAAAAAAAAAAAGCATTAGTTTGAACAGGGACAAAACTTCAAAATTAGCTAAACAAGAGCCAGTGTGTACTAAGGACAGGCTTAGCACTTGTACTTCAGTCTTAAAGCGTTAATGAAGACAATGCTGGTCGTTCAGACATGTTTTGGTCACATAAATGAGATGACCATCTAAGTTGATCTTTTTATTGTTACTGATCTTGAGTCTGGGTTTCTTGGTTATATATTCGTGTGTAACCACAGAGGCCCTAAAGAAAAAACACATTTCATAATCAGTACTTCTGTTGAACAATATACAAAAATGTGATGAGAAAAAAACTATTCCACATTTATACTAAAAACTGACTACATGAACACAAGAAAAATATATGCTTTAAATATTCATATGGTCACCTACCACGTTATGGGTTGCCTTCCAACAACCTAGAAGAAAAAGATATTTCTTTACAATATCTCACTGAGCCACATGTTGAGCTGAGGTGTAATGTATTATTATAATAAACTGATAACATATGATTCAAAGAATCCGCTCCTTAGTCTACTTACATGCAGACAAATACAATTCCTTGTTTTCATTGCACACAGCCTGTGCAGTCTTCCATGTATTACCAGAACAAGAAAATTTCATTGCGGTTCCAGCTTTAATATGAATATTGCCCGTGTTCACCAGATCACGATATTTAAACGTATCCAGCTCACAGAAGTCAACTGCACACACATTACATTGGTTAAACTGAATGATTCTGCATTTAATCACTTACAAATACTGTATACCTTTACAGGTGGGTGGTGGAGTCCATTGGTTATTCAGACATCTCATTATACTGGTTCCGTTTAGTTTGTACCAGTAATTACATTGATATGTCACAAACATCTGACCTGGATCAACCTCAAAGTCTGCATTGTTTACTGTGGGAGGGGAGCCACATTTGTCGACTGCAGAAAACATAAGACAATGTGATAACTTAAAATAGACTCCTACAGGTGAAAGGGACAGTGTAAATTGAGATTAAATACCATGAGTGAACATCTGCTGATGGCTGTCGTCTGACCCAGTGGGGGCTGAAGCGGCTGAAAGACATTCACATTGTTTCATTTAGCACAAAAGAGGAAAAGATGCTGCAGTGAGAAACATTGTATTGGGACAATTTGCAAAGCAAGGCAAGTTAATTTGTATAGTACAACTTGTACACAAAGCAATTCAAAGTGCTTTACAGAATAAGAAATACATTAAACGCACAATACAAACAAATCAGAACATAAATAAAGAGACATTAGTTAGAGAGAAGAGTGCAGAATGAAAACCTTTCAGTCATATGCACAGCTAAACAGAATTGTTTGAACAGAACTGTGAGCCTGGATTTAAACAAAGTCAAAGCAGAGGCCTGTCGCACATCTTCAAGAAGACTGTTCCAGGTTTTAGCTGCATAAAACCGAAACACTGGCTCCCCATGTTTAGTCCTGACTCTGGTCACCAGCAGGAGGCTGAGCTCCTCAGAGTGCAGATGGTTCATACGGCACTAACATGTCATGGATGTATTTTGGTGCTCGGCCATAGAGAGACTCGTACGCAAGCAGAACCACTTAAAGTCTATTCTCTGAGCCACAGGAAGCCAGTGCAGAGACCTGAGCACAGGATTTATGTGCTTGTACTTCCTGGTTTGAGTCAGGACCTGAGCTGCAGTGTTCTGGATGTAATGCAACTGTCTTACAGCTCGTTTGGAGAGGCCAGTGAGAGGCCGTTACAGTATCTCACCTACTGGAGACAAGCGCATGGATACATCTCTCCAAGCCTGCTTTAGACAGCATACATCTGATTTTGTGTTTTTAGGTGGTAAAAGGCTGCAGATCTTATTGATTTGATGTGGCTGTAAAGGTTCAAGCCTGACTCCATTATTACACCTAGATTCTAACCTGATTTGAAGGTTTTGAGAGAGAGAGCCTGGAGGTGACTGCTGACATTGTCTATGACTCTTATGATTTTAAATGTAATGAAGTACAATTACATAGCTAGAATTACACTCAGTTAGTTCAAGTAGAGGTTTAAAATCTCCTCAAATAATGCAATTCCTCAAATATAGTAATGTGAGTTGTGATTTGGGTTATTTTCATAGGCACAGGTAAATAAAATGTGTGGAACTTGCTAGTTGGCTTTGCTGTGGGACAAAATATTGAACATTACCCATATTTACATAAAAGCAACATATAACCCTTTGAAAGCTGCATATACTTCTTCTGATGGTGTGAAAGCAGAATATAAGATCAGTGTTTTTTGAACATCCCTCGTGTATGATGGCTAAGAGAGATTTCTATTAAAGACCAGAATGCAGCTCTTGTAGGTTTTCCTGATTTACGATTGTTTGTCATTTACTGAGTGTTGCATTAAATATCTCACCTTTGCAGCGGGGCACTTCAGACCATGATTCGTTGTTAAAACAATGCACTGTGTTGATACCATGAAGAATATACTCAGGACTGCACTGATACTTCAAATACCCAAGGCTGCGCTCCACAATATGCCCATTCTCTATTTGGGGGGCCTCTCCACATCTGACAACTAAAAAAAGATACTGTTACAGCCTGTAGGCTACATGTGTAGGGTCAGTGTAAAAGCCATACTTGTTGTGAAGAGAAGGTCTTCGTCATAACCCAATGAACCTGTATCAAAAGGTCATAAAACAATATTGAGGCCACACAGTTTAATATAAAGTTACTCAAAGTCGGTTTACACAGTTTTTAATTAGGCTACATCTTTGCCTCACTGTTGTTTGGCCACTTTAGCTATGCACAAAAATGCATTGGTTTGTGAATAGCCAAATGCTACCAAACTAAGCCCATAATAGAGAATAATACTTATAAATATAGATGCAACTGGTTCACTCAAAAGTATATAGTTTGTGAGGTTTCTGATAAATATACTCACATTGTAATATTCCAGCAGCCATCCACAGTAAAAACTGACACTAGAAGATGACGTCCACACATTTTCAGGTGCAAGTTTACAGTCCTCTATGAGTTGGTTTAATCTGGTCTTTTTAAGTGTCAGTAAATACAGTGGGTGGAGCTTGGCAGTTAGCTGTGCTGTGGGATAAAATGTTCAACTTTGCCCATATTTACTGTGATGGAACTTTATATTGTGGAAAGATTTTTCTCAATCTGTCTTTGTGTAAATGAATGTGATTTCATTAACATGTGTAAAGGTTCAGCAGACACAACTGTCCCCACCTCACAGGGAACTCTGAATTGTCTCAAATGTAAAGTTGATTAACACAAGTCTGTGAAACAAAAGTCACTCTGCGTTGATATGCATGTAACTTGTATGTCTGTATAAATACTCAGAGCTCAGATGCTCTGGGGGAGATGGAGAGAAGAGATTGGAGGCGTGACTGGAGAGAGGAGACTCACGAGAGGCTGTTGGTCTTTGGTCAGGGCAGGCCTAGGCCCTGTCCACATCTGCTGTAACAAAGACGAATAAACCTTTGTCTGTGTTCCAAAAACTCACTGGGCTTCGCAAATGAATCAATTATTTTTTTCTTCAAGATTTATACAATTTTTCCACAACATTTACATGACTTTGAAAGCTGCATATTATTCTGACAGTGTGAAAGCAGAAAATAAGGATCAGTGTTTTTGTGAATGTCCCTTTTGTGATGGCTAAACAACAACTATGATGAAGGTCTATCTCCTAAAATACTGCTGAAAATACAACTGTGTCCTGGGAGTGTGAACCATCTTTGTGAAGCTTAGAGGGCGCACTACTGTGTGATAGATTCCAGCGCTGTAGGACAAAACTACACCAACCAACCCATGACATCTCATGACATCAATATAGGCAAGAAATGTGTTGAAATATTATGCTTTATTGTGCTATTTGGGGAAAAAAAAAAAAAAAAAAAGCATTAGTTTGAACAGGGACAAAACTTCAAAATTAGCTAAACAAGAGCCAGTGTGTACTAAGGACAGGCTTAGCACTTGTACTTCAGTCTTAAAGCGTTAATGAAGACAATGCTGGTCGTTCAGACATGTTTTGGTCACATAAATGAGATGACCATCTAAGTTGATCTTTTTATTGTTACTGATCTTGAGTCTGGGTTTCTTGGTTATATATTCGTGTGTAACCACAGAGGCGCTAAAGAAAAAACACATTTCATAATCAGTACTTCTGTTGAACAATATACAAAAATGTGATGAGAAAAAAACTATTCCACATTTATACTAAAAACTGACTACATGAACACAAGAAAAATATATGCTTTAAATATTCATATGGTCACCTACCACGTTATGGGTTGTCTTCCAACAACCTAGAAGAAAAAGATATTTCTTTACAATATCTCACTGAGCCACATGTTGAGCTGAGGTGTAATGTATTATTATAATAAACTGATAACATATGATTCAAAGAATCCGCTCCTTAGTCTACTTACATGCAGACAAATACAATTCCTTGTTTTCATAGCACACAGCCTGTGCAGTCTTCCATGTAGTACCAGAACAAGACAATTTCATTGCGGTTCCAGCTTTAATATAAATATTGCCCGTGTTCACCAGATCACGATATTTACAAGTGTCCAGCTCACAGAAGTCAACTGCACACACATTACATTGGTTAAACTGAATGATTCTGCATTTAATCACTTACAAATACTGTATACCTTTACAGGTGGGTGGTGGAGTCCATTGGTTATTCAGACATCTCACTATACTGTTTCCGTTTAGTTTGTACCAGTAATTACATTGATATGTCACAAACATCTGACCTGGATCAACCTCAAAGTCTGCATTGTTTACTGTGGGAGGGGAGCCACATTTGTCGACTGCAGAAAACATAAGACAATGTGATAACTTAAAATAGACTCCTACAGGTGAAAGGGACAGTGTAAATTGAGATTAAATACCATGAGTGAACATCTGCTGATGGCTGTCGTCTGACCCAGTGGGGG